AATAAAACACACCGTGTACCAAATCCATACTTTACTGAATAAAACACACCGTGTACCATATCCATACTTTACTGAATAAAACACACCGTGTACCATATCTATACTTTACTGAATAAAACACACCGTGTACCATATCCATACTTTACTGAATAAAACACACCGTGTACCATATCCATACTTTACTGAATAAAACACACCGTGTACCATGTCAATACTTTACTGAATAAAACACACCGTGTAACCATATCCATACTTTACTGAATATACACGGTGTGTTTTCATATCCATACTTTACTGAATAAAATTTCACCAGGCACACATTGAAAAATCATAAGTTTTATTCAGTAAAGTATGGATATGGTACACGGTGTGTTTTCCCCTAGGAAAAAATACTTTAAAAATAAATAACCTTTAATTATGAGACTATCTTTGTAATCACTTTTAATACTTGTATGTTTATATAGAGAATAATTTTTTTTACGTAATTATTGTTTGTGGGCGAGAGTATTTGCATATAAAGTATGGAAATTTTATGTATCAATGACGAATCAAATTAAACGAAAATACATTTATTTTTCATTTTGGGAATAAAAAAAAGTAAACTAATTGCCTATTGATATGCGTTATACGAGAGAAATGCGTTAAAAAATAACTGTGGATATGTAGTATAAGCCTCTAGAATGTGTAATACATTAATTTAAATTTTAGATGCAACCTAAATAATCTGTATAGATTTTGATAGGCATTATCATACATGTTGAAAAATTCTTTATTTTATTACCATTACATTAATCACGCGTTTCACTTCCTACACGGTTGTAGTTCGTTTATACAGATTATTCTAAACCAACTACAAGTGATAAATCTTACGTGTGAAGTACGTTAACGCTGGAAAGGGAGTAAGAAGTAATTGTGAAGTACATTAACGCTGGAAAGAGAGAGGGAAAGTAATATGTAACTTTCTTTGGGAAAGTAATTGTGAAGTACAACATAACGTTCCCAGTTATTATCGATGGTTTACCAACTTTATACTTCCTTTCGATAAATTTGCGTCTTTGCCAGAACCCATAAACTTGCTACAAACTGCAATTGGACAAAACACGAAGATTAGTACGACCTCGTTTGATTTGGTCGAACAACTTAAGGGCCAACACTTTAGTAAAAGCGACTATCTGTTGTGGCAAGCAAAGAAAATTTTCACTGCGTTTGATTGAATAAAGTTTGTATACTGTAATTGTCTATTCATTCGTAAATGAGTAGTCAAAGAGCTGCTGGTGGGTGGTTTTGACTAGCTGCTTTCCCTGTAGTCTTCCTCTGATAAATTGGAGACAGCTACCTGGATAGAAGATGGGCACCATCAGGTAAAATCTGCTCGAGAATCACAGATGAGGCATAAGCATCTAAGGTGCCCCCCCCCCCGGTCATAAGCACCTCTTTATTTCACATGAGCTCAATTAGTCAGACAATACAGAATGTTTTTGCAGTAAATATCTGCGAGAATCGCATGCTATTCATTGGTAAAAGAGTAGCCCAAGAGTTGGCGGTGGGTGGTGATGACTAGCTGCCTTCCCTCTAGTCTTTCACTGCTAAATTAGGGACGGCTAGCGCAGATAGCCATCGTGTATCTTTGCGCGAAATTCATAAATCAATTTCGCGCAAAGCTTCACAAGAGTTATCTGCGCTAGACATCCCAAAGTTTAACAGTGAAAGACTAGAAGGAAGGCAGCTAGTCATCACCACCCACCGCCAACTCTTGAGTTACTCTTTTACCAACGAATAGTGGGATTGACCGTCACATTGTAGCGTCCCCACGAATGAAAGGGCGAGCATGTTTGGTGGGACGGGGATTCGAAACAGCAGTTTGCGAGTCGAACGCCCTAATCACCTGGTCATTTTTTTGAAACAAAGTTTTCACTACACATCATACATCTATATTTTGGTTCCAGAAAGAAAAGAAGCAGTAATGAAGTTTCCCGATTTGGAGTATGAAATATTAGTTTAGCTAGAGAAAAAAAAAACTACATTAATGTGCCGCTTGTAAAACGTAACTTATCGGGGTTCATTTTACTGCATGGCTGATTTCGAATATACGTGGTCCTGAACTTTCATTCATATTTTGTTAACAAAACGTAAAAATAGTTCAATCATGTAATGTACTGCAGAAAGAGTTATCTGTGACGAGGGAAGCGTAAAAAAAAAAGTTACCAATATTATAAACACAGGAAAACATCTATAGTCCTGGAAAATGATGATAATTAAACAGTGTAGAAAATACCAATACTATAAACACACCAAAACATCTATAATCCTGGAAAATGTTCCTATTTTAGTGCCGTATTTTTTGGAATTAAAATACTGGAAAATGATGATAATTAAACAGTGCAGAAAAGACGTTTTTTTTGTAGAGGAATAGAAAAAATTCGGAGGAATCATTCAGTCTCGTTTATGTCGTATGGACTCCTTTGGCCCAGACGCACGACGTTGGCGATAGTTGTATATTCCTTGTTCCGATAATGAAGTATTAATATTTGACTGCACGTTCAGGATAATTTAACAAATTCGTTATCTTCAAAGGGGCGGCTTCGTTTGTCCTGCTTTGAGAGATTTTCTCATTATAGAACTTTGATATTTAGTTCTTTCGTAAAAAAAAAAATCCTATTGAGGCATTAAGATCCTAATTGCACTTGATCAAAGAAAAATATTAAAATTCTGCCTTGTGCTTAGAATATACAGTATGACACAGTGAGAAATATTTCCATTTAAAGTTGTTCCTATTGAAAGGAAAATATATTAGGGAATATTATTTACAG